CCAAGCAATTTGGCTACAGAAGGCAAAATCATCCTCAGAGCTCTTCTTGGGACAGAACTGTTCTTGACATGTTCTTGGGATCTTTGTTTCTGCTTCTTACTGGGATTCACTCTACAGTTGGTGATGCACAAAGGATGGCTGGAAATGCTCCGTTGCCCCTGCACACTCAGGTAGCTGTGGCACTGGCATCTTGCACCAGGCCCACACCCAACCTGTGCTGGTCCCCACGGTCACAGGTGTATCTGGAGTTTTTGTTTTGTTTTGTTTTCTAAAGTACATGGATATTAAGATGCTTGGAGTGGATTAATCACAGCCTTGCCCGAAGATCAATGGGAGAAATTAAATAAGAAGGCTTCTAGCTTTAGTAGTTTTGTATAATAACACGGAATTGGGCTGAGTACCTTGGGGAAGTTTTGAATGCGTTACATAGCACTCAGCCTACCCTCTAGTCCACCTTGATTTCTGTGTCCCTTTGACAAGCCTATGAATGTAAATCAGAGAGTACAGGCCCCTCAGCTAGTTAACTGGCACCATAATGACAGCGGTACCCCCACTGAAGACAATAGCTCTCATACATAGATTTAGTTGGCACTACATAGGAACTCATATATAATACACCGCAATCCTATTTTAAAAATACTCTTTTCAGAAAAGTTTATTTCTGAGAGAGAGAGAGAGAGATTTCCAATAGGGTCTTCACATTGCAACCCACCCCCAGCCTCAGCCTGCCTAGATCGTGGATCCATGTTGTCATGTGCACGGGAAGAATCTAAGGTGTGAACCTAGGATCTCCCCATGTGGCCTCTGCATCATGGACCATTGTTACCACTGCCACAGCAGCCAACCCAATTGCCTATTTTAACAACACTGCCCTGAAGACTGTATGATCTTATGGAGGGAGAGGGATATATAAATAAACTATAACCATGAACATCAGTTGGAGAATGATATGAGCTAACACAGGGTTCACAGCATGTGGCTAAAACTCAAAATAACCCCAGGATTTTGGCTAGTATAAGGTTAGCTTTTTAAATTTACTGTTACAATCATTGTGACATTATGAAAAACATAGCCTAATATTAATTTTTACAAGAAATCACCCCTAAGATAATTGCCTTGTGGACCCTCAGATGACTCTGGGCTAGGCAACTGAGTCTCACAGGCCTCTGTTTCAAAAAGCAAGGGTGGCTTAAAATTCACGCCGGGTGCGTGTGCGTGCGTGCCCAAGATCCCGAGAGGAGAATGGAGGAGAAGGGATTGCGGCGTGACCTTCCCCCCTGGGGGGTGATTTCTTGCTTTCTGTCTCTAATGTCTCTCTCTGTCTGTCTGGCGAGCGCACGCGCCCTATAGCAAAAATCTCTCCAAAAAAAAAAAAAAAAAAAAAAAGCCAACAGGTAAGCAGAGGGACAGGATATTTCCAACAATTCTTCACCAGAGCAAAACACCAATGTATGTATTGAGTGAGAGAGTTCACCGACCTGCCATAGAAATGGGCATGGAGGGACCAGCAGTTGGCGTAATGGCTATGTTCCTGGACTCCCACGCAGTCGACCGCGGTTCGAGTTCCAGACCCAGTGGCTTAAACTCATGCCCAGCGCATGTGCATGCGTGCCCAAGATCCCGAGAGGAGAATGGAGGAGAAGGGATTGCGGCGTGGCCATCCCCCCGGGGAGTGATTTCTCGCTTTCTGTCTCTTTGTCTCTCTCTTTTTCTGGCAAGAGCATGTGCCCTACAGGAAAAACCTCACTAAAAAAAATTTTTCAAAGAAAAAGAAAAGAAAAAAAAAGAAAGAAAAAAGAAGAGAGAAAAAAAAGGAAATTGACATGGAGATTCCTAAGTAGTGAAATATCAGTTTTAGAGTCACCAGGGTTACTTTTATTTATTGGGTCATCCGAAAAGTCATGACTCTTTTTTTATATTTTTCTATACAAAATGTGTCAAGACTTTTCCAATAACCCAATTTAGGTAGATTACAGTTAGAAACCATAGCAATTGCTTCAAATCCCGGACCCAACAACTTAAAACTCATGCCAGGAGCATGTTTATGTGTATGTGTGCCCAAGAGTCTGAGAGGAGAACAGAGCAGAAAGGAATTGCTGCATGGCCATCCCTTCTGGGAGATCCCTCACTTTCTGTCTCTCCAGAGAACACATACGCCCTGTAGCTAAAATCTCTCTCCAAAATACGTGTGTGTGTGTGTGTGTGTGTGTGTGTATGAACAATTGGTTACTGGGGGCAAGAGACCTCTTTTATAAACGTAATGGGTCAGTTTACAGATTAGTGGCATAGTAACATTTCTTCTCCAAACTAAACATCGAGCCTCAGCAAGTAGAGGCCTTAAGTGTGGGATGGGGTCCTGAACGAGCGAACGTCACCAGCTTTAATGTCTTTATTCAAAGTCTTCAGCCTGCTACCACCAGGCTGAGCCCAAGGCTCTCAATGATTCTTTATAAGTGGGCACACCTATTTCAGCTGGAAGTCAAGGCAGAGTTCCACGGGAGGGCACGTCTATAACACCATCCTGTTCTGCTTGTCTCCTCTCGGAAACACTAACGCCCTAGCTTGGAGGTGTTGAGTCATGTGACAATAGCAGAATGGCAGTCTGGAAAGTTTCCCAAAACCCTGAGTCCAGGTATATACACCTTCAAAAAGGGCCTCAGAGGGGAGGCTGGCAGGTCTGTCACTTACCAGTGATTACTGGGTGTGAATTTATTCAACTCATCACTTCCTTAGGTCGTTAGGTGGGTATTAAACAGGTTTATTACTTTAAGAATTTTTTTTTCCCATAGACTGTGTGCACTCTCCAGAGAGAGAGGGTAAATAAGAAATCACCCCACCACCACCACCCCAAGGGGATGGTCACATCACAATTCCTTCTTCTTATTCACCTATCGGGACTTTGGGCACGCACGTGCATGCACCTGGTCAGTTTTTCAAGCTGCCAGGTCTGGGACTTGAATTGTGGAGTGGGCCGTGTAGCATCCAGCACCTCAACCACTACAACACCTGCTGGTCCAATGCTTCCATTACTTTTACTCATTTTCTTCAGTATTTTCAGACCTGTCACTCCATTGTGTCACTCATTCTAGTCTAGCAGCATCAAGGAACTTTTAGGATTCAGAGCACCGACCCTGACACCAGGCTGCCCGGGTTGTTTTGTTTTCAACTCTTAACTCTGGTACTAGTTGTGTGACCTTGAGCAAATCACTTACTTAATGCTTCAGTACCCTCATCTGTGAAATGGATGGTAATAGAAATTAGCTCATAACCTTGTCCTGAGGGTTAAATACCTTGATACATGTTTACTGCTTAGAACAATGTGTGGTACGTGGGTAAATCCAATAACAAATGCGGGCACTTCTAATTGCTGAGCACCTCCACTTCCCAAGGTACTGTGTTACTCACTCTGTCCCCACATCTACACCAAACAAATACACATATCTTTGTAGTAAGGAGTAATCTGGGTAGAATCAAATGAATCTTCTTATTGTTTAACTTGAAAACGGCCAATGTGCAGATCTGAACTTTGGGCCACATATAAGAATTGTCTCAGGGTCTATCACTGTGCCTTTTTTTTTCTTCAGATTTTTGCTATAGGGAGCACACACTGACCAGAGACAGAGAGACAGAAAGCCAGAAATCATCCCCCTGGGGGAGAATGGCTACAGGGCAACCCCTTCTCCTTGATTCTCTCTGGACTTTGGGCATGCACGGACATACACCTGGTGTAAACGCAACTGGGTCTGGGACTGGAACCCTTGTGGGCTGCATGTGAGTCCAGCGATGTAACAGTTATGCCATCTGCTGGTCCCTCCTTGTGCTATCTTGACAGTGGCAGTAATGCGCCAGGCGCTGTGGATTCGGAGAGAAAAGGGAGACCTGGTCTTTGCTGTCTAGATATTTATGGCTGAACTGGTTTTCTTACCTGAAATAAAAGTGGTCAGCATGAATTCAAGGAGTTATTTAATGAGAATTAAATAAGACAGTGTCCTACTGGACTACAAGTAGCCAATGAATGTTATAATTTCCTTTCCTATGAGGAATGAAACTATTCCCAGATGAGGAGGCTTTACTAAATCACGACTGCAGATTCTCGCTCTGCCATTGAGCCTTTTCCTATTGAAGAAGCAGACGGGAGCAGGTGGCTAACACCAGCACCCGATGGAGGGCACAGCTATTGGCAGCCTGGCGGCCCAGGGATCCAGACCGCCCAGGGAATCCAGCGGTACAGAACTGCACCTGAGGTTTACAGTTGGTTCCGCCCTGACTCTGGGCAAACTAGAGACTCGGGATTTGTTACGCTTCATAAAACTGACGACCTTCTAGAGCCTCTCCCAATTTCAGCATGACTTGAGCCTGACACGCCGGTTCATCACCGTTTTATCTAGAGGAGCCCGCGCTCGGGGGCCCATAGAGATCTGGGACCAGGCTCCAGCCAGTCTTGTGTTACCTGCGAACCAAAGGAAGCCTTTTGCTTTCTGAGTCTGTGCGATCGCCTGTAAATCGGGGACAATGACCCCCAACTCACAAAGATCATAAAAGGACACTACGGAATATTTTACTAGAACACTAAGGACGCTCTCTACAGGCCCTAATGTAAGATTCAGCTCCACTGAGATCGGCGTTAACGTAACTATTGGGCGGGATGCTCTGGTTGCCGCAAACACTCGGCACATTAAGTGTTCATCCCATCTCTGCAGCAACAAGAGCCTGTTCTCAGGAACTTCCCCGCGACCTCTGCATTTCCGGCACTTCTGATCGGAGTTTACGCCACCAGCTGAAGGTCCTCCGTTCCCCACGTCGCCTTTCCTTTAAAGGACGCAGGCTGAAGCCCCGCCCACTACGGAGAGCGAAAGGGTATTTTGAGGTGCCCATTTACAGGCTTTTTCCGCCACACCTGCTCAACCGCTGACCTCCGCAAGGTACGGTAAAAGGCCAGGGGCGCAGAGCGATGAGGCGACCATGGGCATGTGGACATGATCTTAGGGGACGTGCCAAAGGGGGAAGAGGCACTGCACCGGGCCACGTCCCTGGAAGATTAGGGTCACCCTGTCCTGCCAGGCGGAGGGCGGAGAGGCCTGGTAGGCCCTGCTGCCGAGCCAGAGGTCCTGCCGGGCTGTAAAGCCGTTTTCGGTCCAGGTCGCTGCCGGAGCTTCCCAGAGACACCTGACCTAGAACCCGCGCAGGCCTCACCTTCTCCTCGCCCCGCCCCTCCATTCCCGCATTACGCACGCACGCACGTACGCACGCACGCAGTGGTTTCTACGCCTCGTCCCTGCCCGCGGCGCGCCGTAGGCCGGGTCCTGGGGGTGGGCGTGGCCGCCGCTTTCCTCTCTGGGCTGGGGCAGCTCCGCCCGGAAGCGCTGGCTGCGGCCGGGTGCCTGGCTCCGCTCGCGGGGGAGCTGGGCAGAGGGCACTCCTGTCCCAGCTTGGCTGGGAGACGCATAAGGTTGCTCGGGAACGTCGCGAAGTGACTGTGGGATGCCTTTCTTCACCTTTTATCATTTAGTAAGCTGCATGGCGTAAAGGTCTTGAACAGAGTGAGAGAAGTTTTCTTAACTGAGAAGCCAAGTACGTGTTAGGAAAGCTCTCCAAGGAAAGTAGAGTTCGGAAGGAAGCATCCGAAATTCCAATTACTGTTTATGATAGCAGGCACACAGTAATGCATACATAGATCTGTTCCCTGCTTCATGGAGTTTACGGTCCACTGAGGGAGGGCAATAGTCATGTAGCCACAAAATTGTGATTGTGGTAAGGAACTAAACAAGAATGTTCCGAAAGATGCTGTAGACTGATCTGACGATTCCGAAATCAAGAGAAGAGTACGGTTATTCCAGAAAACTGAATGGCCAGCATGGTTTTCGCAGAGAGTCTGGAGAGGGGAACCTGCTGAAACTGTAGGTCTTTAAAACTCAGTTTAAACAGTTTCGAGGTGGAGAGGGCCCTGGGTGTGGTGACAGCAGGGCAGTGGAGAGAGGCGCTTGTAGAATTGGACTGAGAGCCCAGTTAGGAGACTGGCGGGAATCCAAAGATGGAAGATGACTTAAGCCTGGGTGCTAACAGTGGATATGGAGAGAGCTGTAGGTGGATTTGATGTTGGGCTTCAATTATGCTATCAGTATCTCCAGAAGAATACAAAATAATATATCCTAAGAGGAATATGACTGTCCTTTGGAGCAGTAATCATTTATTTACATTTGGGGAGGGCAAGAATGTTCAAACAGCTTTCTTACTGGGTTATTGGTAACGTCGTGATTTAGCCATGCAAAAATATACCATGACTTTTCCAACAACCCAATAATAATAGCCCAAAACTAGAAACAGCCTAGGTGTTCGTTAATAGGAAACTAGATTTTAAAACGGCAAATATAGTCATGTACTTTTCAGCCACTTTTTTTTTCAGACATTGCATTTTCTAATGGTATCTCCTTGCTTTTTTTTTTTTTTTTTTTCAAGAGTAGCTTTTTCCAAGTTGGCTTCATGGCCTGGTGATTAAGACAGCCAGGTCCCACATGGGTTCAAGTTCTAGACCCATTAACTTAAACATGCTGGGAATGTGTGCATGAGTGTCCAAAATCCTGAGGGGAGGAACGGATGGAGAAGGGATTGGCACCATTCCTCCTCTCCCACCCTCTCTGTCTCTGGCAAGCACATGTACCCTCTACAGAAAAAAAAAAGAATAGCCTTCTTTTTTCATTCCCAGTGACATTAACTTTTTTAGACACCAAACCAGTTGTCTTCTCCAGCAATCTGGACATCTGGATTTGTCAGAAATTTTCCTTATTTAATTTGTCACTCTCTCAGTCTGGTCCCTGGAAACTGGAAGCTATGTCTAGAAGCTGCCTCACGTTTTGGGTAAGCTTTATTGGCAAGGCTTCTTCTTCGAAGACTTCATGCACTTGATGTTGCTCCACTTCAGGAGGAGTGACCGAGGCATCAGGTTGTCCCACCATTGATTGGTGAGGCTGAGTCTCACCGTCGGTTATGATGCCAACAGCCAGCGGGCTCCTTGGCACAGTGTGTTTTTCCCTTTTTAATCTGGAAGTAATCTGTGGGTGACCTTTCCTACCATGTGAATACCTCGCTTTCTTGTCAGTTTGCTACCTAATCGGTTTTTTCATCCATCTTTGCCTGAATCAGTGATTTCATTGGAGAGGATTTTTTTCTTCTACACTTATTAGCTGCCATTGTCTAAAGAAGACCTATTGATCGGCTGGGATGATTACAGTTCTTCCTAAAAAGGTAGGATAAATGTTTAGTTCTTTGTATTTAGTTACCAGTCACCAGTTTTATAGTCAAAGTAAGGAGTTAGGTAATTATCGTGTGAGCTGTGGCAAAGGATCTTTCTTCCTCATATATTTTTGTATACTCAGTATGTTAGAATGAAGTATACTCATTGTCCCTTAATTTTTATCAGAAATTTGAGTAGCGCAAGTCTTGTCATGCTGACAAACTGTAAATGAAATGTAAACAAAATTATACTGTCAGGGAAACCTGAAAACTGGATATTTGATGACGTAAAGGAATGATTATCAGTTGGGATAATTTGTTATGATTACTGAAAAGATACATGGGTACATTTTAGAGAAGCATAGTTAAGTATTCACTCATAAACTAGGACTAACTAAAGTAGTTCATGGAGGATAGGGAGTGAGATAGTTTAGGGGTAAAGATTAAATAAGTTTGGCCACCCATTGTTTATTTTACTATCCTTTCTGTACATCTTTGAAATTTTTTCTAATACATTTTAGAATTAGGAATTTTTTGGCTAGCCAGTGGCAAAGTGGTTAAGGTAGATGGATTCCACACGGCCAGTGCAGCTCGAGTCCCGGACCCAGAGGCTTGGAGAACACTCCAGGCACATGTGCGTGCATGCCCCAAAATCCCAAGAGGAGAATGGAGGATAAAGGATTTAAGTGTGGTCATCCCCCTTGGGAGGTACTTTCTCACTGTTCCCTCTTCCCCATATCTCTCTAGTGAGAGCATGTGCCCTATAGCAAATCAAAAAATAACAACAACAATAATAATGACACTTCCTTATAAAAAAACTTGAGAAATAATGATAATAAGGAAGAATAGGGGAATTTCACATAACCAGAGTTTTCATAAATTTCTGGCCATCTTTTTCTTGGGTCTAGCTTTTTATTTGCTTACTTATTTGAAAAAAATTCTACAGTTTGAGATGTTTTCTGTTTTATATGTTAATAATTTGTTAAATAGGGCACAGTAGCACTAACTTTTATCCATAAAAAGATACATACTTAAGTATACTTATACACATTATCTATATTACATTATATATTACATAAAAATATATTATATTATGAATAATTACATAGTATAATTATATACATTATATATTACATATACATGCTGACAAACTAAATTATATATTACATAATTAAATTATTTACATATACATATATGTAATATATGTAACATAATTAGTAACATAACCTTACATGTGATAATTTCGATATCCTTGTCGCTGATAGAAACTTTAGGAAGAATGACACTGTGGTTTTATACATGAAGTTGTACAGGTTTCTAGAACAGGAGCTGTGGTCCATTAGCATCAGACACTTGGATACGCCAAGAAGACTTAGTGAAACAGGGCACTTGATGCCATCTTTCTACCCTATCTTTCTGATGATAAATGGTACAAAACCAAAAACTTCTCTGATCTCTTCAGATTTTTATGTTTCAGTTTAGGGGTTTCCTTTACTGACAAAGATCTAACTTTTTATTGCACAGTATCTCAGCTATTTAAAAGCCAGTCCATTCTCACCTTAGAGCCTTTACAACATCTGCAGCTAGAACCCCCAACTCAGAAGTTGCTAACTCATCTCGTTTGCTGTGGATGAACCATCTGGCTGCAGATCCCCCAAAGGCCAGCAGGCATTTGGAACTCCAGCAAAAGACAGAATGAGTATTGCCTACCAGCATGTGTGTGTATTGATGTCTAAAGGCATAAAGGTTGGCTGGTCCCACCATACCTCCTTGGCCATTCTCTTTGGTCCTGTGTTCATTCAGCATGTCCACATTGAGACCAGCTCTAGGCACCGTGTTGGGAATGCAGCAGTGAATAAAACGAACTAGTTCTGTGGCCTCATGGAGCTTACATTCCAGTGAGGAGAGATTATGAACAGATATGCAAAGAAGCAGATAATGCACCTGGCAGTAATAAATGCAGTGACTTTTTTAATTGCTAGAGGGTGCATACACTTTCCAGAGAGAGAGAGGGGGAGAAAGAACCCTTCAATGGGGTGTGGCCACACTGGAATCCCTGGTCCTCCATTTCTCCATCCTGTCAGGATTTTGGACACACACGCACATGTCCAGAATGTTTTTCAAGGCAGTGGAACAAGGATTTGAACCATGGTTGGCCTCCCTTAACCAGCATGCCACTGGCTGGACTCTTTTTTTTTTTTTTTTTAAGAGTAGCAGGTGTCCACAGTAGGCTTAAACTGTTCAATAAACCACGCTCTAATCAGATGTGCTGTCATCCTGGCTTTGTTGCACCAGTTACAGAACACAGGCAGAGTAGATTTAGCATAATTCTTAAGGCCTTAGGATTTGGGGATTGGTACATGAGCGTTGGCTTCTGTATTCGTCTCTAACAAGAGAGTCAGTGTGACCTTTAAAGCCAGATATTGACTTCTAGGAACATTTTAGATGGCATCTTCTTCCAATAAAAGGCTGTTTTGTCACCTTGAAAATCTGCTGTTTGGTGTAACCAGCTTCATCCATGACCTTAGGCACATTCGGATAACTCGCTGCAGCTTCTGCATCAGCACCGGCTGCTTCACCTTGCACTTCTGTTACAAAGATGGTTCCTCTCCTTAAACTTCCTGAACTCACCTGTGCTAGCTTCAGACCTTTCTTCTGCCATTTCCTCACCTCTCTCAGCCTTCATAGAACTGGAGAGTTAGAACCTGCCCTGGTTAAAGGAATGCTGTGGCTGGCTTGACCTCCTTCCCAGACCACTGAAACTTACTCCATATCAGCGATGGGCTTTTTCACTTTATCATTCATGTGTTCACTGGAGTAGCACTCTTAATTTCCTTCAAGGAGTTTTCATTTACATTCATAGCTTGGCTGTTTGGTGCATGAGGCCTCATTTTCAGCTTATCTCAGCTTTTGACATGTCTCCCTTACCAAGCTTAATCATTTCTAGCTTTTGATTTAATGTGAGAGGTGTGAAAACTCTTCACTTGACCACTTAAGAGGACATTGTAGGGTTATTAATTGGCCTAATTTCAGGATTATTGTGTCAGGGAATAGGGAGACCTGAGCGGGGAGAGAGAGAGATGGAGGAATGGCCTGTCGGTGGACACTCAGAACAGGCAGTGTTTGGTGATTAAGCTCAAGGTCTTCTATGGGTGTGGTTTGTGGCACTCCAAAACAGTGAAGTAGTAAAATCGGCAATCACTGATCACAGATCACCACACATAAAATAACGAAAAGGTTTGCAGTAGTTCAAGAATTACCAAAATGGAATATGGAGACATGGAGCAAGCTCATGCTATTGGCACTGAGGGACTTCCTTGATGCAGGACTGTCACAACCTTCAGCGTCTGAAGGGCAGTAAAGTGGGGTGTGCCTGGACATGCCTATGCTCCCTTACCTCCTTACCTTGAGAATGGTCTGTATAGTGAATGAGGTCAGCAGTTTGATTTATATCAGGTACTTCCTGAGTCTGTTTGTCAGTTCCCTTTGGGAGCGTCCCCTTTTCCATAATAGTGTCCTCATTGTTTGTATACCATCAGATAAGTGATAAATTGTCAACAGTTAATTACATTAAAAGTTTATGTAGTGGGGCCAGCAGGTGGCATAGTGATTGAGGCGCTGGACTCCCACATGGCTGACCATGGTTCTAGTGCTGGGCTTGGAGGCTTGCTTTCTCACTTTCCTGCTCTCTCTGTTGCTCTGTGGTCAAATTGAAAAAAAAAATGATGATGAATAAAAAATAATTAAAAAGTTTATTAATTGATCACCAAGCAGTTTACATACTACATACTTATATACAAACCCTTAGGATGATATTTGCTTTTGAAGTTGGTACTACAAGATGCATGGGGAAGACAGTCAGATGGGATCGTGCGTATGTAAATAAAAAATGCAAAACCAAAGCACTGCGCATGTCTGGTTTAATCTCATAACAACTTCTTGTATGGGGAGCAGTACCACCGTGAGTGAGTCTGGCTGGGGTCACCCAGTATCCACTTTGATGTGAGTTTCCTCTGCATGGGTCTGGTTTTCCAGAGGGCTGAATTTCCATGAGATGGAGATTACAGATGATCTGGACTTTGCAGCCTCACATGCTCTGCCTGTACCATGGTATCAGACTATAGAATAACCAGTTGTTTTTTCTTTTTTTTTTTTTTTTTTTTTTTTTTTTTGCTTTTGGCTATAGGGACATTGGGTATGAATATGCACATCCCCAGTGTGTTCTTCAAGCTGCTGGGTCCGGGACTCAAACTGCAGAGTTGGCCATATGGGATCTAGCACCTTAACCACCAGGCCACCTGCTGGCCCTAACCAGTTTTAATTATTTTTTTTTTCACTGCTTTCTTAGGATGGCTGCACTTTTTCTAAAGAGATTAACGCTACAAACCATAAAGACGGACACTAATTGCGTTAGATGTCTTGGTAAACACATTGTGCAAAAGACAGCACCCACACAGTTGTCTCTTACTGCTGCTGCCCCAAGACTGTCCTATTTAATTCATACAGAAGCTTTCAGCACTGTTGAAGACCCCCAGCATGAAAGAAAAAAGAAAACGAAGACTGAAACAGCTTTCAGTAACGTCGGAAGAAAAATTCATGAGCGAATTATTCATGTCTTTGACGAGAAGGGCAATGATTTGGGAAACATGCACCGAGCCGATGTGATTAGACTGATGGACGAGCGAGAACTGAGACTGGTTCAGAGGAACGCCAGCACAGAGCCCCCGGAGTACCAGCTCATGACCGGGCTCCAGATTCACCAAGAGCGACTGCGGCTTCGGGAGCAGGAGAAGGCTCGACCCAAAACTGGTAAGCCCTTGTGCTGTTTGTACCCTGAGCCCTTTGGGGCTACAGACCAGTTTAAAATCTGGCCTTAGCTTGTGACAGTGCGGAGAATGAGAAACTAGAACATTCAAAAAAATAAATGGTTTCACTATCATCTGATCTTTTTTCCCTACTTCATCCCTCACTTCTTTTTTTCCTTCATTTGTCCTTGATACCATGTCCATGGTTACGTTAAGCCTGTGTAAATTGAAGGAGAAACGAGGTGAAGGAAACTTCTCTGTCCCATAGCTGTGTCTCCAAATACTGAGGCAAGCAGAGCAGCTAACGGGTGTAATGAAGTGAGACTCAGGAGAGGGATTCTATTATAGTGTGTCCTGTCCTAGGACCCTCCTTTTGATTGTTTTCTTGTTTCTAAAGTGGAGATGTTCGGTTAATTATATGGAAGTATCTTTTAAACTCCGAAGTGATTCATAGAGCCTCTCTCATGCCATAGTATTTTGTTAGAATTTTTGTAGTAACACTTCTATGTATTTAGCCAGTTGCCTTACAGAGCACTTGTCATTTAAAGCTCAAAGAAGCGTGAATTGGATATGAAATGAAGACGTTTGTTTTTCATGGTTCTATAAAGTGCTGCTCATTATGACAGTTGCTCAGTGGGAAGCACGCCGGGACAGGAGGCAGGAGCCAGGGCCTGGGGCTGCCATCATGAGGTGATGTGCTTTGAGAAAAATCTGTGGCTCAGTTCTGGAGCGCCTCATTTTCCAAGGATGCTGACTGGAAACCAGATACTCAAAATAGACCAACCAAGGAGGGGGATAAAGACCTCGAACTATGTTGCATTTTAAAAAACTGAACAGGGTTGGCTTCATAGCCTAGTGGTTAAGAAGCTGGTTCCCACATGGCCAATGGCAGTTCAAATCCCAACCCCAGACACTTGAAAAGCACACCAGGTGTGTATTACACACGCCTCAAATCCCAGCAGGGTGGAGAAACAGAGAAGGGCTTGGGTTCTCTTTCTGTCTCTGGCAACCAGAGAAAACAAGATTGGTAAAACTAAGTTAGCAACTAAAAAGATTGGTAAAACAAAGTTAGACTAGAAAAGCTTAGATGTTGAAATGCTAACGTGTTAAAGGCATTTTCTTTTCTTTTTAAATATGGGGTCTCACCATGTTGTGATCCTGCTGCCTTAGCCTGCCAGCTAGGACAACAGGCACACGCCCCCACACCTTTTCACACAGGCATCTTGGTTTTCTGCCAGGCCACTCTTGAGCTCACGATTCCCCTGCCTCAGCCTCCCTGAGTCTCCTGCCTGGCCTGTGGGTTGGATCAAGAACCAAACCCTGGACTCCCAGGTTTGCCGGCCTGCGTGCACAGTCTTAGCAGCAGATACCATTGCAGCTGGGTCCACATGACTTTTCTTCCATTGGAGAACCAACTGGTGGGAGTGCTAAGGAAGCAAGGAGGTGTTAACAAAATAACACTCTTAAGAAAATTGTTTTTATTTTAGAATTTTAAAAACATACAGAAAAAGATAAACACCTTGATATCTGTCATCCAAAGTGACCAGGTGTTAACACTGTCATACTTCAGATTGTTTAAACTAAATGAGACATTACAGAAGTGAAGTACTCTCCACTTCCTTCTCCTGTCCCATCTTCCCTCCCTGGATCAGTCCCTGTCACTCTCATACTTACATAGATGTATTCCTTCATTATTTTGTATGTATAGATATGTATGACATAGTTTCTAAGATCTATCCATGTTTATGTAAAAGCTATGATTTGTTATAATTACCCTATGACATTTTCATATAAGCATGTATATCATAAATTTGTTAATCCATTTGCATGGATACTGGGCTTGTTTCCAGTTTTTCATTATTATGGACACTTGTACATACGCCAGGTTCCATTTCCAACGGGTCTCATTGCTCTATCAGCTGTGTATGCCATTTCTTTCTCAGTATCCTCACCCACACTTGGTACAGTCCGATTCTAATTTTTATCATGCTAATGAGTTGAGAAACCCTTAAAGTTTTTCATTATTTCCTTTTGCCATTTGAGTTTTTTCTTTTATGAACTGCCTGTTCATCTTCCTTTATCTTCTACCTAGGGGGTGTATTTTTCTTCCAACTTATAAGGGCTGTTATATCGAGGCAAAAGCCTTATCCCAGTTGGATTTCTCACTTTTCCTCTTTCTAAAATTGACATATAACAGCTATACATTTTTATGAGTTGTAATGTGATACTTCAGTATAAGAATGTAATATACAATGATTGAATCAGAGTAATCAGCATATCCATCATCTCAAATTTTTTGTGTTGGGAACATCTGAAATCATCTTTTAAGTGACTCTTGAGATACACACTAAATTGCTGCTATAATACCTTCATCCTATTGTACTCCGTAACACTAGAAGTTGTTCTTCTTATCTGTAATTTTGCTTCCATTAAACAACATACTCTCCCCCTCCCCATCCTGTCCAGCATCTAGAAGTCAGTCTTCTTATTTATGAGGTTGTCCTTTTCGACTTCCGTGAGAACATGCAGTACGTCTCTTTCTGTGCCTGGCTGATACTACTTAACACAACATCCTGCTAACTTACTCTTGACACCTCAAGTGACAGGATTCTATCTTTTTTTTAAGAATTAATTTTATGTATTATTGCTATATATATATATATTTTAATTTGACCAGAGAGAGAGGAAGTGGGAAAGTAAGCCACCACGTCTGGGACTTGAACCATAGTTGGCCATGTCCAGTGCCCTAACCCCACTATCTGCCACCCCCAAGGATTTCATTCTTTTTCATGTTTCATCTCCTTTTATTACAGCATTTTTGAGATAGGTGTCAATCTTTTTTTTTTCCTAATGAAATCCTTCCCCTATTCTGATGTCACAAGTATACTCTCTCTTTTCGCCCATTTGCTTTGAAGCTATATTTTTCACCTTAGAGATGTAGTCCATCTGGGGAGATCTAGCCTTTCCATCTGAAAGCTCTCCACTTTCCCCCCTTTTTTGGAATACTATGTCCTCCCTTGTAAATAATCCCTTAACAGGCCAGGATTTCCAGAACAGTGAAGGATGAGGTCAGGATACCCTCTGGTAGCTAGGACAGTGTCGGGAAGGGGCACCGTGCAGTCACGACCCCCATCAGAAAGCAAAATAAGGGCACTTCCAGGTCATCGTAAAGCTAAACTTGATCCTTCTAAACAGCTGTTCTTTTAGTGTTCCTTCCCTAAATAGAATAACAATAAATGGAAGCATTTTGGACTTTTAAGTACCCTTACTCAACTGGTAAAAAAAAGTAAAAATCAGTACCTATGAGGTTTTTATCTTCCCCATTTTAAAAAGGATTTACTGCTATGTAAAGTTGTCAGATGAGAGGACCATAAGGTGGCAACCAAAGATTTTTTGAAGTGTTTTGGGGAAGCTCAGGTTTCTACATAGCAGACTAGTAAATAATCCTTAGCACCAAATCTTACTGTTTCAAACTAGAACCAACCCTGATGAAGGAATTAACTTTTTCTTCAAATATTGGACAACATGACTTGGACACAAAGAGTAAACAGATTCAGCAGTGGATTGAGAAAAAATACCAAGTTCAAATTACTATAAAGAAAGGGAAAAACGTAGACGAGCCAGAAGAGAAAACAGTAAGTAAAAGCAGGTATGAGTAACTGCTTGCTTGTTCTTTGATGTGAAAATATGATGTGGAAAATCCAAAGGCCAGGCAAGGAGACTAGTAATTCTACCCAGTGATGATAACAGCATTCCAGTTTGTTTTTCAAAATGTAAGAAGCATACTGTACATTCTATTTTGTCGTATGAAAATATTCTACTTTATAATTTAAAAGCTATATACTATGCTGTTTTACAGATTGTAGAACATCTAACCTTTAAACAGGAAAACTAGAAACTTTATAGACTTGTTTATTCTGTTCATTCTTATGAGAAGCATTCATGGTCAAACCACCTTTTAGCCAGTTTATCAGCTTACAGTCTGAGGATAAGTTTTTGGACTAATTGGCTTTTATATACTTGATAACTTTTCCACTGCACAAGCAGAATTAGTCCAGTGTTCTTGAGCCCTAGTGGCACACTGACCATCTAGCAGATCTCTGGAGCCTGGGTCTCTGTTTAATCACCCCACAGTTCTGTGTTTGTGTGTGTGTGTTGGGAGCTGTGCTAGACTAACAGTTATGGAGACAAGCGGGCACTTTGCCAATGCCCAAACCTAGTGCTTTGTGTTTGTTCTAGGGAAGGGGTAGCTTGGGGTCAAATATAGCCCCTTAGTGACATGCCAAGGTAGAGGTTTGAAATGATCAAGTCTCAGTGTATCAGTTCACAAGGAGTTATTGTATAGACTTCAGTTTAGCTAGGTATGTAAGAACTGACTAGCTAATATTTAAATAGCAGTAACCAAGAATACAGGCTTTTATGAGTGTTAAAGCATTAATGAGAGCATCAAAGACATTGACTTTTAAATTGGTCTTTGGCTGTTTTCCTTTTGTAGGAGGCAATATTTAACCAGATACTCCAGACTATGCCTGGAATTGCTACCTTCTCATCCAGGCCACAAGCTGTTAAAGGAGGAAAAGCTTGGATGTGTGTCCTTCGTCATTTGAGCAAAAAAGAAGAAAAGGCATATAAAGAAACTCAAAAGACCCGGGAGAGAGACATTTTAAACAAAGAAAATGGAAATGATAGGGTATCAAATGTTCCTCAGTGACTTTAATAAGGAAAAATATGCTTCTGAAATAAAATAAATTCTCTGGTTTGCAGTCTTTTAAACAAAGCAACATGACACTTAATTGAGGGTCAGTACTGCAACTGTCGAGAGCACTCCGTCTTCGATACAGTGTGGGGACTCTCCATTTTTCAGTAGAGACGAGCCCAGCTGTTTCCGTTTGGGAGGGATATATCCACTGAGCCGAGAGGCCAAACTCCGTTTTTCACGAGCTGGTTTTATCTTTGGGAAAAAGATAAAATTTTGTAGCAGTTATACAAATACGCTTCAATAACAAGTCTTTTGGGACCAGCAGATGGTGTTAATGGTTATGACACTGGACTTCCACGTAGTTGACCACGGTTCGAGTTCTGGACCCAGCAGCTTAAACTCATGCCAGGCATGCCCATAGTCCCAGGGGGAGAATGGAGGAGGAGCGATTGCAGTGTGTCCATTCCCCCTGGGGGATGATTTTTCAATCTCTGTCTCTCTGATGAGTACACATGTCCTATAGCAAAAATATCCCTGGGAGGTGGGGAGAGCCAAGTCTTCTGTAGAAGTGCAGATGTACCCAGCCTGGGAGGTGGGGAGAGCCAAGTCTTCTGTATATGTGCAGATGTACACAATAGAGTAGTTGAACATACCCTGGACAGTCTGCATTTGGCTTTAAGCACTTTGTTTTTTTGGAGAGGTTTTTGCTATAGGGTGCGTGCGCTCACCAGAAAGAGAGAGAGACAGTGAGAGAGAAAGCGAGAAATCACCCCCTGGGGGGGGATGGCCTTTTTCCCTTTTCCTCCATTCTCCTCTCGGGATCTTGGGCATGCACGCACACGCGCCCGGCGTGAGTTTAAGCCACCAGGTCTGAGACTTGAACCGTGGTCAACTACATAGGAGTTCAGCAACATAGCCATTACGCTAACTGCTGGTCCCTAAACAGTTTATGTTTTAAAAGTAACAACTTGTCTAAGTAATTTCAACTTACCTTAAGCTTCATTTTCATCTTGTCAGGATCATGCACAACAGCATGTCGATTGAGGCTTTGCTACCATGAAGGAAAAAGAAGACCGTTATATTTTGAAACTTCAACATTTGATGCCTGTTAACCTGAAAACTCCAAGTAATTTAATTAAGTGGCCAGCCTTCTCTTAGCTATGTGCTGTTGGGAATAGCACTCTACCTAAAATTCCCCACCAGTGCTAAGGAAGGAATTCTTCCTCAAATCCTCAACCTAACCACTACCTTTTCCAACACACCCAGGCTAGGAATATACAGTCTTTGGCTCTCAGCTCTTTCATTGGTAAAAGGAGGAAAACCAGTTCGAAATGGACTATTCCTAGCTGAAGGAGCCTCTTCTCATGGAATCTCCTCTGGAAAATGAGTGATGTGCTGCTGACCTTGGCAATAATGCTGGCCACCACTAGCTACCAGTTATTTCTGAATGGTTCAGACCCCTGCTGGGCAAGCCTCACGTCTCTCCGCAGTCTGTATTACAGATCACGTCATGGCAAACACCTGTGACCTCCACCCAGACCGCCTCCAAGGCCTCTCCCTTGGGCGTCATAGTCTTACCTATTTGAACCATGCCGAGCAATACACCCGATGCCCAAATTCTGTGGTCCCTCATCTTTTCTTTTTTTTTTTTTTTGTATAGGTTTCAGCATGTCACGTGGGGG